CCGGCCGATCCAACGAGGCCAGGAATCTCATCTGCATGCACTACAGCGCCGAGACACCCAGCACCAACAGACTCACATCACGACCATCATCTTGAGACAAGCTCAAAGGGGGAAGATAATTGTGTGTCTATATGTCCCAGAGCAACCCCACCACTGCTGCCAGCTTCGAGGGGCCGGTACAGGCGAAGAAGAATAAGCTCGGACGAGCTGAAAATTGAGCAATGATTGCTACCCCACGGAGCCACAACTCCACCTCTGCGTCTCTGCTCCGCTTTGAGCTCTTCGTTGGCTTTCGTTGGCTTTCTTTTCCCTTCTTGGCCGGTGCAAAGTCAGTGCAAGTACTGCAGTGTCCCGTGCCCACACCACTACTCTTTACAGCTTGCAAGGCCCCCAGCGCGGGCCTCGAAAGCGTGACTCGTTGCCTTGGCCTTTGATTTGCTCTTGGTGTGCTGGGTTCGACTCATTGGCCTCTCATCCAAGCAATCTATGAGTCTTTATTACACATTGGAACATTCTACAACTACAAAATCAATGTAGTGAGTAATCTTGCAGGAGGATGTTCGGATCCCATAAATCGTACAAAGATGAAACCAACAGGATAGTATTGTATCCCCAATAACCATGGGAAATAAACAGTCAATTGAAAAAAAATTTGAATGATTTTTGTATTTTTATATGTTCTATGTATACACAAAAAGTTTTAATTGTATATTAATCTTCATATAATTTGGTTGACTTTTATATTTAATTCATCATCATACCAAATAATAATAATTTCAATACCTCTTTCAGGTTTATGTGATATTGAACATAAGAGAACAATCGTTAGCGAGGATAAGACAACCAACAACTACTGATATTGCTAGTTCATGGTTTACAACATTATTGCTCTTTGTAGATCGATATATTCACATTACCTTGAATTATATTGAAAGTGATGTTACATGTTGGATCTCACAAATGTGTCTAAATCAATATCACGATTTAATTTGTCTTCTGAAGTGACAACCATATGAAAATATGATATATATATATATATATATATATTAGTTGTTGATATCACTCAAAAAAACGTAATGTGCAAATAATGTACTCTAATTGCGTGCAACACTAAAAATATATTTAATATTCCAATGCTAACTTCCATCTTCTCATGCAATAATAAACATCATAGCTTTAATGTCAATATTGTTAGTTGTTTTAAATATGATTGGTTAGTCATATAAAGACTTGTTGCATCTTATGTAATACATACTTCCCAATGATTTTGTAGCAAAGATAGTTGATGATGCAAAAAAAAAACCTTAATGCATGGTTGCATGGTATGAATATCTCACCGAGACAAACCATAATAATTTTTTGAAATAAAGAAAAACAGCATTTTATTTTTAAAACTATTTTTTGCACACATGATATCATCTCTTTTATATCATGCTAATAAAATGAAAAAAATTTGTAATATATGTTTTATAATGAAATGATTATGATATTATGATTTTTTCCTCTAGAATTTATTATTGATCTCAAAAATTTACATGAAATTACCCGTTGGTTTTGAGAACAAAGATCAAGAGAAGTTGATTTGTACATCATGATATGGATTGAAACAAGCCTACAGGTTTTGCAAAGCAAAGTTTGACAAGCTGTTACAAAATTCATCAAACCTTGGAAAAGAAGAGCTTAAGTTTGAGTTAAGTTAAATATGTTCAAAGCGTGATTGAGAAGTTTAACATGAAAGAATTTAAAAGTTTATGTACTCCTTTGGCAACACACATCAAATGTTTTGCAACTCAATGTCCAAACTATATCATTGTAAAAGAAAATCTGTAATCAATTTTCTGTGACAAAGTTGTGGCAAGCTCATATATATGATGGTGTGCACAAGATATAATATTGCTCTAGTTATGAGCATGATACATGTTAAATCCAAGTAAGATGTAGTGAGAAGCAGTGAACTAAATATTCAAAATTATGAAGAATACTGAAGAATATGGTGTATTGTTTGATATCCAATGGAAAATGTCAAATCCTTGCTAGCCTAAGTTGATGTCAACTATGAAAAAGATCAGAACAAGAAAAAAATCCACAACTAGGTATGTATTTACACTTGATAATGGATGCATTAATTGGTGATCTACTTTGCAGAACTGTATAGTTTAGTCCACAATGAAACCTGAAAATATAGCTCTATCAAAATCAACAAAAATATCGAATTTGTTGAATAATTTTATTACTAAGTTAAAATTGAAACAAGAGATTTTCAATTTTTATTGTGATAGTCAAATTGTGTTACATCTCATTGCAAATCAAATGATGTACAACAAATTGAAACTTATCAATATTAATGATAACTTTATCCAACATCCAATATTTTAAAAAAAATTGACATTGTCAAGATTGATAGTAAAATCAATCTTGACTATGTCAATCTTTTAATCAATCGATTCAATCCAACTAATAAATTGACCAAAGTTTTTTCTTTAGAGAGTTTTAAGAGACATTGTATTATTTTTGCAAGAGTATCACAAGTAGAATTTACTAGAAATTTTTATTATTTTTTTATATTTTTATTCTATCATGTCGAGATTATTGCTTCGTCTTTGTTTTAACAATGAAGTGTTATAAACCGTAGCCAAAGTCAAACAATATATTGTGGCTTTGAGTCAAGATGCAGTTTGTGTTTTTTCCTCTTATGCATTTACACTACAAAATACATCCATTCACTAAAGATGATATGTAGAATTATGTGATTCACCTCTTAAAGAAGCTACTTTTCCAATATTACAAGGTTTTTTTACTATAAATTTAACTATATAAGAGGTTTTTGCAAACCTCTTATATAGTGATAGCTGAATAGTTTAACTATTGTATTTAGATACGAAAAATTTGGCCAATACTTGATTTGAAAAATAATAGTTTTAACATATGAGAACACTTTAAAGATGTTATTTAATATACTCCTACTTAATGCTCAAAAAATGAATAGCGTTAGCTCAGAATTTCAAATAAAAGAGTATACAAAATATTTAAATATATTTTCATCTAGTATTGGAATTATATGTGATTCTAAAATTGGATAGTTTCACAATCTTATAAGAGTGTGTGAGGGCAACCATAGAGCTACAAATGCATCTTAATTTCTCCTTCATTATGTGTAAAAGAATTTGTACAATGTGAAACCATTCATTTAAACTGTTGCTGATCTAGTATGCAGAGCCTTTGACATAAATAACGAGATGTATTGATTGGAGCAGGAAAACTTGTCCATTGTGAACTATCATAGAGGAAATGTGTGAGCAAACCATCATGGTAAAATAAATAGCATTTTCATCACAACATTCTGTAAACTATTTTGGACAAAGTGAATACATTTCTTTAAGTTCAGCGCTGGTTGGATGATGTTGATGTAATATATGTAGTATGCATTCCGTTTGTCTTAAAAATTAAGGAAAAAAAACAGTAAATATTATCCGTTGTGATGCTCTCTTACCCAAGCCCTATCAAACTTGTTTGGTTTCATCTTGTAAAAATTGAATAGAATTCCCGTTCCTTTTTTTTTGAATTATTTGGTTCCATTTGTAAATTTCAGCGAGGAATGGATATGAGACATCATGTTCCTATCCGAGAGGGACATCCTGTTTACTATTCTTACGACAAGTATATGAGAGAAACTTCATGCTTCCGATTCTTAATACAACTGAACATGTAAGAGCTCAGTTTTCTGTACCGGGGTACACGTTGTACTGTAGTTGTACAACTTGTATGTACGATTTGTACTGTATTTTAACGACTACGGCTGAGCATGCACCTCGTTTCGAAACCCTAAGCTCTTACTCACTCCATTTATGACTCTTTGAGACACTCCACGGCTTTCATCATGCAGAGAGACAAACTTATTCAGAAAAGAATGAATGTTTTTTGTCGAGACTTAGTAAATTTGCAGCAGAATGTGTGCACCGCGCTGTCGCAACCAAAATGACCGTATACTGGACCTGACGACCGCATCCTAGAAGAAGATCGAAGATAGTAATGGGAAGAATATAGAAGCTTCTGCATGTGTCTCCACGTTCCATGTATAAAATGCTCTTAGGTATCACATGATGAAAAAGTCGTTCAGTCTAGCAATGATGAACATTAGGAATAGACATGGAGCAGTATCTGGAGCAGATTGGCGCTAGCAACCCATTGATACAATGTGACACTGAAAGAATAAAGGTGTCCTCTGACGTTTCCCAAGATGGGTGACTCATGCATCGTCAACACAACGTGATTCTGAAGTTCTCCTTGCAAAAGCTTCAACCTTCAATGTTTCACATCTTCACTAAGAATCAGGGCGTTGAGTTTTCCTGACCACTCTTTTTGGAGCACTTTTCGTAAGTACTTCTGTAATTTCGCGGCTGCACGATATTCGTATTTAATAAGTTTGCAGTGAACTGTAATATGTTCTGACTGCTCCGTCCTTTTTACATTTCACGGTTCTTACACATTCTAGATTGTTATTTGCATCGTTTTTTCTTCTTGGTCTACCTGCGTTTCTTCAATCTAAACGTAGATGCGGCTTTGCAGACTACAGATTGAATATTATGGTTGCAACTTATTTATTATATGGAATATAATTGCACTGAGGACTTTATCAGAGCCGATCACCGAACTAATTCGGGTAGGGTTTCTTCTAATTAGAGTGGGTTTTGTTAAAAAGAAATTGTTAAGTAAGATTCGTATTGTGGAAGAAATTGATTGGCGCTGGCGCATGTGTACAATATTGTTTTCATGTCGACGATGTTTCTTTTGATTGAAAATGATAAGTGTTTATATTCCTATTTCGTCGTGAACGTTTATCCGTTTAGAGATCATGAATTCACTCCGAAACAACCTCGTATTCGAAAATATTAAACAGACCATGGCCAGTGATGAATAAGGTGATTTTTTATTTACACAGAACCCCTAAGAGATGAGACATGAGACCAAAGCCAGCAAAAGAAAACAATTACACATTGTGCGGAGATGGAGAAAATACACCTTTAGTTCTCAGGCCTGAAATGGCGAGGTAAAATCTTAAATTTATGAGGATTAATCAAGCTCACTTGGAAGGGGGAAAAAATTGCACTTTTTCTAGTCCTTGTGCTGAGTGAAGAACATACTGCTCGACTAACTCCTTCGGCTAATTAACATAATCGTTACATGTGAGTCAGGGCATTCTACACCCTGGGACAATTTCTCTTGCACTACAGCTATTGTTTGTTCTGGGTTTGAGACGTGGGTAGGTCATTAGTGTGTGCGAAAAAGTAGCGGATAAGAACAACAAACGCCAGAACTCCAGCACTGCAGCACAAAAATGTATCACATCAGTCAGTATAAACCATTATTAATAGTCACTTCTACTAAATCATATCTCTCGAAATGTTGACCGAGCTTCAGAAGTCTAAGCCCATAAAAAATTATACATGCATTCAAATCAGAGTCATTGTATAAAGATGTGAAAGAGAAACGAACCACGGCAAGAAGAGCTCCCTGCTTCAGCTTGTCATGAAACGCGAAAGCTAGGGCTTTTACCCCCAGTCCGGGACCTCGAATGAAACCTCTGTAACGCAGATGAGCACGCTTGTAGTTATAAAACTTTAATGAGTTAGATTTAAACGGGTGCATCAAGTGCACAGCTGCTGCTCGCTTCACAAGCGGTACGAGGATGAGCGTTTCCTAAATGTGCAATATAATTTAAAACACGAGGAAAACCTTAGATTTCATTTGTTTTACTCACATGAAAGTTGAGGACACAAGAGGTGAATGCCTTGTATCGTAGATAGCTATAAGTCCACCGTAGGTAGCGTCGCCCCCACTGTAGGATAGTGCAAGTCTCTCTCCCGTCCCATCCCAGGCCATCTTCTCAATCGTTCCCCTCCTGCATTGGACACAGAATGGAACTTCAGTCCTCGTCATCGCTAAACTTTCAGGTGCAAATCTCCCACGATAACAACTAGCTCCAGACCTTGATAAGAACAAAATACGACAACGGCGGCATCGTAGCAGATATTAGGTGTTCAATAACAAGAAAACTTCTACCCAATAGAACATACCCTCCGGTTACGGACTCCAGTTCAGGCAACTCCAAAGGAAGGAGATGAACGTCTGCAATAAACGCAGTGTGAGTAAATTCCAGAAATATGGAGCCATAGTTTTGGAGTGTCACTCGATCTCTCCATGCGACATCCATATCCTACAGCTCTTGGCGAATAGAGCCTGGAGAACAAGTGCAGGTGAGTTCGACACAAAATGCATGCTATAAAATTGACATCTTTAGTTTTATGAAGCATTCCTGGTATTCAAAGAGCGAATGAAACCTCACCTAGAGAAGGCGGTCTGCTGGGAAAATATAGGGTTGCCAAGGTAGTCGATCCATCGAAAGCAGCCAACAAAGCATGCCCATCTGGACCCCACATGGCGCTCTGCGTGACCAAGTCCAGGTAGTCAGGAGATGAGAAAATAACCAGTTGTCTGAATGAATGTGTGGACCCAAATCTTGATGATCTGACTAAGTTCATGCAAGAAATTACTTTTGATTCCGAAAGAGACATGGAATTATCGCGACACGATCTAAAGCATCCATCATCTGTAAAAAGCTGAAAACTCACGACAATGCTGCCTCCGGCTGATGACCAGGGTTCTGATGTCCACGTATTGGTTTCCCACAAGTTGAATGACCCATCCCTGAAAAACCAGTCGTACAGATAAGTGAGTAGTGTGCTCATCTGTCCATTTTTCACAACTGTGTTTTTTTCGCAAATCAACGCAACCTACTTGGCTAAGGTGTTATCCATAAGTTTTGAGAAAAGCAAAAATATTGTACACAAGTTTCCAATGTGAGCTCTAGTCTGATGACTGGTATAGACGGGTTGGCTCATCTGCCCAAAGGCCTAAAACATTTACCCTTGAATAAGCTCAGGAATCTGACTAATTCTTTAATAGCTGGAAACCAAGAAACCTGGAGTTTGCGTTAAGTTCAAGAGATCTCACAATTTGGCTGAGACGACATAGTCACCAGTCGGTGACCACTTCAGCAAGGAAATGCCCCCGAGTCCTCTCCGTAATGGGCTTCCCTTTCCTGCATGGGGGCGGAGCAAAGAGGAACACGCCTCAAGATATGATAGAGATACAGCCATGAATTAATTTTTGACTTCAAGAGATCCAAATACTCCTCACTTCCTATCTTTCCCGGATAAGAAGTGAGACGTAACACATAATAACGTGCACGTGGACTAAGTTCGAGGCAGGTTCCAAACTGAGCATGCCCCGAAAGTTGATTCTAAATGAAAAAGGGTGAGAACTCTTTGACTCAACCAATACTACATATCGTATACTTTTGCAAGATTCTAATGAAGACATCAAAGATGCGATCAAGCACATTGATAGCTGTCGTACCCTGAGAGACATCCCATATCGTTATTGATGAATCGTATCTCGAAGCAGAAGCTAACAGCGTTTGATAGTCAAGGAAGCACTTGAACTGGACTATCATGATGTCCATCAGTATGAATTGAAGAAAATACTAACAGGAAGTTCAAAGCAGCACTGTACACGATTAAGAATGGAAGGCTCTGGGAGAGAGCAGCTCCAGGCACTGTTGTTGTTGTATGAGACAGAACAATGCCAACAGGCTAAATGCGAACTTTAATCAAGCATGTTGTAGAAATTCAGGATATCTCCCACTGGGGCACCACGAGATTGCCGTCACAGGTTTGTTGTCCTTGGTCTTCAAAAAGTCCACCAGCGCCCACCTGGCACCCGAGCCTCTATGTGGAGTGCCCAAGATTGAGACAATTCCAGCTCTAACTGGTGCTATATTTCCAGGAAAAGAAGCGCTCCAGATACAAATACCTCCTCTGCACACAATAAAACGGAGTCAAACATAGTAAGAAGCAAGATAACCTTGCAAATGAAGCATATGGTATCAAACGTAGTCTTGGGACTCAATCCAAGAAAAAGTACCGAACACCATACGCCAAAGTTGAGGCTGAAGCTTGAGAATGCATTGTAGTTATTGAGTTGATATCGAGGACTTGAGTTTTAGGGACATAAAGGGGAAGTAGGTAACCTGCAAGCGACGGAAAGAGTTGCACCACTGTTGGGACGCCATTCCACGGCCTCAACACCTCTTTGAGAATCGCTAGCTAATACGGCGGGGTCTCTTGATTCTGCATATATAGAAGCAATAAAGGTGAGATTCAAGGGTACTTAACGACGTCGACTGGTGCTACCAATGCTCTCGTGAGGCTGAAGTGTTGCGGATTTTCCTTTCGGTTGTCATTTTTTTACCAGTTTTGACGTGTGTAGCTACAAGAGAATGACAATTACAAAGCTGAACAGGGCAAAAGAGAAATACAAACAGCGTACCCGAGTCTTCGAAATCATACACCAGAACTTGATCGGCAGATGAAATAAACGCTAGCCAATGCTTTTGCTTGTGCCAACTGACTGCTTGAAATCGGTCAGATTTGAAACTTGCCTGGCCCTGGTTCAAAAAGAAGCAAGTTAGCCGCAAGTGGTACCGACAACCGTGTACTTTTACACAGATCCTGAGATCGCACAGAGATGTATCAACCTATGACAAGAAAGAGCACAAATAGCGGGTTCACAACCAGCAACCCGATATTCTGAACAATATGTTAAAGACATGGATATGAGATCAAGGGCAACACATTTTGTTCGTTGAAACCATGCCTAGTAGCGGGGTAAATTTGCATGGGTCTATGGCTTCCACTGCGGCATCCCCGGCCAGAGAAAGTAGAGGAAGTCATGCGTATCTCAAATTAGAAAGCACGACCTAATTAATTTAGCTAAACTTCGACGACGGCGCATTTCGCTGAGTAATTGTTTTAAAGAACGAACAGAAGACCTCATGAGCCTAATTACGTCCCTTTCAATGATCTGCCTACTATCTACAGAGGTCGTCATCAGACAACCCTTTTGCTAAACTTTGATGCATCCTCGAACTGGCTTGGAGCAGACGGCTGCTTCCATGACAGTAGCATTCAAGTATTGAATTCTAACATTGGTAAGAGCAAGCTGGACAGTTGCTACTGTTACTGAAATCAAAGGCACATTATTGCTTTCAAGTGGGCTTTCAGTTTTACAGTTGTTACTTCATTCACGTGCGGTCTAGTTGGAGCATATAGACTTCACAAACCATTCTGACAAGTCACATCCCATTCAAGTGTACATCCTTCCAGTTCAAATTGCGTGTAATCCGTGGTTGATCGGTACACTAACCTCAGGATAGGGTGCCACGACACCTTGAAGGGTACTACTGATGTAGTTCTTGGCAACACTCAGCTGTTTCGATAAGAACCCTCGGCGTCCGTCCTCCTCACCGACCATATCCCCTCTACGGTCACTAGTGCTCGGCATAGGTGAATCATAGTAGGACATTCCCGATTCCCGAGCTTGTTCATCTTCGTAATAAGAAGCACTCAGTCCATTCCGGAAGCCATTTTCAGGCAGGTTTACTCTAAATGGAATGCTTGCAAACACCCTACCCTGAAAATTCACCACGCGAAATTCCACCATGCATCGATTCAGACTACAGCTCCAGCACATAATTCAAAGCTGAACACAAATTCCTGTAATACAGGGAAACGATCTCATCGCGGCGACCTACGCTGGTTTCCTTCTTTGTTGGACATCCGGAAGAAAATTTCATTCGGGAGCTCCAATTACTCACCAATATCTTGGAGTAGGCATCTTGCGCGGTCTTGTCGGCATCATCTTTTCTAGTCACTGGAACGTGAGACACGATTAGTCCCGGGCAGTGTCCGAATGAATAAATGTGCCGATCACGACTTCAAAGGTCCTAGTCCAGTCCACTAACTGCCATACCAGGAGTATCTCCGAGGGGGCTCAAGATAGTGAGAGCCTTGCAAATAACATCATCAATGAACGACGGGCGGGAATAATAAGTTGTGAAAACTAAAATTTGCACTGTAGAGGTCAAATGATGGAAGAGAATTCAAAGCAACGTACGCAAGTCCCGATTTATTTCGCACACTGTATATTCACCGGGTGCAGGAACGACCGGCATTTTCTCCCCTAATCCCGATTCAGACGCTTATTTCAAATCCGATCCAGGAGGAGAATCGCTGTCACCACGAGGCGATTACAAGACGAATTCGAAGGGATGAACAGAAACCAGTTCACAAAAGCCGAGAAGCAGCCGCCACATCACTCGACGCCAGAGGTCTGTGAAAACACACGCAAAATGCAAACGAGTGCGTGAGAGCTTGAAAAAATTCCCAACGCGGCACTCGAGTGGGCAACAAGACCAACCAAAGCGAACCGATATCCTCCGAGACGCTCCCTCACCTACATTCCAATTCAAAACCCCGCTCGGAGAGACGAGGCAGGTGAACCTGCCGTAGACTCAGCACCGGTCTTGTCTGACACAAAGCTTCTGTCGTTTCTATCTGACCAACATTCGAGCAGAGCACCAACGCAACGAACATGCCAATGCGGCAGCTGAGACATTCAGCGCCGGCGAGAGCGGAAACCTGCTTGGCTCGATTCACTTCATTGGCTCGCCCAACGTTAAACCCTGTCCTCCTCTGACCTCCTCGTCCTCGTCCATGCTCCTCATCCTTTGTAGGAATCGAGCGCTCCTGAACTCCTCGTCCTAAGTCGCCAATTAGGGATTTATTTGAAAATTTTGGCGCGGGGGTTGTCGCTCCACGGATGTCCAGTGGCATCCCGCCACGTGGCCGACGCGGATCGCCGTTCTTTGCCGAGTACAACGAGCAATAATCTCCCTCGAGGGCCCGGAGTGATGGGGATTGCGGGAGCTTCGCAGGGAAGCTTGCTGTCCAAGTGGAGGAAAGCGTTACAGCTTCTGCAGCTTTCGGAGGTGCTGACGAGGCTATCGATGGTGGATCAATGCCTCGTGGGTTTGGCTCGTTTGCATGAGCTTGCACGAATTGACATGTTCGGCAGGCGGTAATTCCTTTCACTCCATTTGTTGTCTACTGGCGTCACGGGGGACGAATTTTCATGAGTGGTTTTCATTTTCATGGGGGACGAATTTTCAAAAGCAAGTTCCTGTCCCTCCCCAGATATCCGGTGTCAGTCGTCTTGTGTCACTGAGTACTACTTGGTCAGCCGTGAAAAGAGCCATGGCGGTCAAGAGTCCCTTTTAAACCAAGAGAAGCATTTCAAAGAGAGTTCACACTGGCGGTTGCTATTGGTTCTTGCCGAAGGATTAGTCTTGCAGATTCTTCCATGTTCGATCGGGTTGAGGCCAGGGCTGCAGCCATGCACACAGTTATTACTCAATTTCATAGACCGTGATGTAAAGGGCTGTGATCTACCCGCGACAGTCGTTTAGGATGGTGGAGTTGAGAATACTGAGCTTTCAAAGCAGTGCAACTTTTGCTGTTGATTCTGATACTGGTTGTCAGCAGGCTCGCGGGCCAAAAACTAGTCACATCATCAAAATGAAGTACTTGAATTTCAGGACTCTGCGAGTGACTTCCGATCACCGCACACTTACTACTCGAATATGCGGTTCAAACCGCTGGTGTTCAGACATACCCAACTGTAAATTTGCGTTCAGTTCTGAGCTCATTAAGTGTTTCTAACGTGTGACAGCTGTCTAACATCTACCGACAGACTTTCACAAAGTAAGCTGAAGCTCAATGAGCTCAGGAAAGGTCTGCAGTTGGTTCAATCAAACACAACATAGCAGACCAACGTTGCAGACAGATTCAATATATGATGCACTGGCTTGGCGCATATTAGCTTGAGTAATTAGGAGCATACATGCAGAAACAACGGTGTGAAAAAGGGCTGAACCTTATAGCCCCAGCAATCGAAGCACGATAACATAAGGAACACGTATGAACATACACGAGCTCTTCCATCTGTTATCAGTAATGCAACCAATGGAAGGGGATCATCTTCCACTGTAAAACGCGTTCTTCGGTGCAGGTATAGAAAAACCAAAACAAAATTGCACTTTTGTATTAACAAGATTTTCACTAAATGTGATACTCGAGGCCGGCACTGTAACACAAAAATGGTAGCTCTCAACTGAAATCGCTGCAAATAGTGTCCGAATTTTTCAAACTAACAAGATTCTGTCGAATGGGAAAAGATGAAGGAATGAAACAGGTGGTCTGACAAGAGGGCATGACTAAGTCTGAGCCTTGACGTTTCGGCTTGCCTTCTCCTCAACCCCAGACTTTGAAAACCGTCCTCTTAATACGGCTAGAACCTCTTCCATTTTCACATCTTGCACGGAACATAAAACCATGCTGTGGTATAACACGTCTGCCATTTCAGATATTGTCCTCTCTCTTCCTTCATTGTCCTCCAGCGATCTGCACAGTTCATCTGCTTCTTCTCTGTAGCCCAAACATGTCCCACTTCGTTAGTGCTGCTGGCATCGATAGATTGACGGCTAGAGCAACAAAGAACAAAACAGAGACGTTAAGTGCTTCTTCTATTGACAACCAGTGTGCGTCTTTGCAACAATCAAATCAGACTTCAGGGACGAAAGATATCTTGCAGTTCCAGATCGTCGAGCACCTTATTTTTGAGCAGAGAAGTTTGGGGTTTTCGACTAATTTCTTCGTCCAAGATGGTTTAGGCGTGACTTCCACTTTCCTCGACGCAATCGTGGACTCCAAGGAATACAAAGTTGTCAAAGCCTGCAGTTTCAAAGAGGAACGTTCTCAACACCAGAACATGTAAAACAAACTCGCTTGCTCCATCCATCGAAGAATTTATATACCACCTTCCTTCCTCTGTCCATGGTCCACAACCGCCACTCTCAACAAGAACATTTGAGCTTGTGTTTCTCTGCAGAAGTGTTCTGTAATCATTGCAATTCCATTTCACTCGAGCGGCATCATACCTCTGGGTTGCTGCTCTCGAAGGCAGATGTGAAGTAGCAGGTCTCTGCACCCGTATGGCAAGTGGGTCCATCAGGCTTCCCCAGATAGATTATCTGCATGGTCAATGATAATCACTAGGTTTAATACTCCAAACACAAAGGTACACAATCGATACCTTCGAGCGAGGAGATGTGCATATTCGACATTGCATGTGCTGGTAGTGGTTTAGGCCTCTACAGCTGCACAGACAGCAAGACAGAAGAGAGATCCGCAGTCCTATTCGATACAGAATTTGTTCTTTCAGAGCAACATTGATTTGGAGAAATGAGGGAGAATGGACATTCATGAAGATGTGTAGATTAATGGGCGGCCTACCGAATCGCGATCGCAGTCGAGGTAAACGTCGACAACGTTTATGAAGTTCTCCGAGGTCTCTCCTTTGGTCCAGAGACAAGAGCGACTGCGGCTGAAGAATGTGGCCCGGCGTGATGCGAGCGTGGCCGAGATGGCATCACGGTTCGAGAAGCCTTGCATGAGAATGGCACCGGTGTCAATGTGCTGCGCTATGGCCACCACCAAACCTTTCGAATCCCATTTGATGCTATCGAGAAGGGCCTCCACCTGATCAACATTGCAGCCACAATACGAACATCGACATTCAGTGACGAATTCCGGACGGTTAAAACCCGACCGCTCCCGAATATGGAGTGACCTTCGAGAAAGGCCGCTCACTGTCTAGGGCAAGCTCGCGGACCGACTGCATGTGGTTGAAATTTGCACTCTTTTTGCAATCTGCCCTCTCAGAAACAAGTCACATCATCTGAAGGTACACTGGAATACGAAAAGGTGAATCGTGTAGAACACTCGAGAGATGAAATCCCGCAAATTCCTTCGAAATTTTCGCAACGAAGTTCGCAGCGTATATTTCCATTGTACACTCACTGCCATTCATTCACCTCCAGGAATCGGGATTTTCCGAGACGATCCTCAAAAATTGCATCAATCCAAATTCAAACCATCAAACCGTCAACAAAATAATCTAAGACTCTGAAGGAAGAGCTAGTAAGAGCACATTATCTTTACATATTGCACTCTTCTGTGCAAAATGTGATACAAGGGATTGAAAATTTCCAGCAAACAGCAGTAAGGGGATCACCAAACCTCAGGAGTAGACACTGGCTCAGCCCTCGCCAGAGTTGCAGCGGCAACGACGCTCTTACGAGAATCAGAAACAGAAGCCAGCTCGTGAGAGCAGCTAACCCCAGAGCGGACGATTGATGCTCTTCTCTCAGTCGGTCCGGCACAGCAAAAAATCGTGCTCGATGCCGACTGGGCACGGCCAGAGCTTGCCAACCTCTGCGCACCCCCCAATTGACTCACATTCAGGGCAAGCGCAGCATTCCACGAAACTGCCATGGATGAAAGTTGTGACCAAAGCACGAACTCGCGTGAAGTCTGTTTGGAGTAGTAAGAAAAATGCTCGGGATATGGAGTCAGCGAAGCCCTACTACCTCGTACTTAAAACCGTCCCCGCTCTGCTCTGACTACAAAATACTGCAGGCTACTCTCTTCGTCGAGATCCCCTGCCGCAAATAGCCAGAGTCCGTCATATCTCCTGTCCTCTCACCGAAACTCGTTTCTTCTTGAGGTGATCTGACAGATGCTTCTGACTTCCCTCGCTGCAGAGAGAGATCGGGCCTCGCAGTAGGATTCACATTTCCACAGGGGTCAAGCTCAAGTTACTAGCAAACGGATGAAAGACCGCCAGACCCGGAAGCATATTCCTGCCGGGGGAGGAGGCACTTTACGCATCCAGTCGGTTGGATACGACAATTTGTCAACGTGAGCGAAGAGTTCCTTCACTTAAAACGCTGAATTTAGGAAATAGGACGCAAACATGGATGAAAGCCCCACGCCAAGGGAAGAACCTCTGTGCTAGGGTTCTTCTCTTCTCTGTCGCGCAGAGCAGCAGCAGCAGCAGCAGCTGAAATTTATTGTCTACATTTTCAGAGTTATTCCATAGCACGAGAAGAGAAGCTGAGCAGAGCCCATGGCAAGCGATGCATTAGGGCAGGAACGTGAAGGAGCTCTGTTCGCCGACTATTCTGAATAAATGGGATTATTTCAACACCATCGCCCAACTTTGACTGATTTAACTCTGTACCTTTTTTGTGGGGTCGGTAATGAGTGTGATTCATGAAACTGTTGATTGCACTTTCAGAACTGGGATGTCATGACAGGAGAACCTAGCGGTGCCGACGCTTGGGAGGGATGCTTTGTGGTGATGGTAGAGCCTTTTGTGCAGAGGCGGAAAATACATTTCCTCTCGACATCGATGAAGCTCCAGAAATTCTTTCGGACGAATAAAGGACTGGATGCGTGAGAGTAAACGGTGAAGACGAGATGAGAAGAGAGCAGATTGCAGGTGGGATTCTGAAAGATGAAACTTGGCTGCAAGGGACTTCGAATTGAGCTCCCTGGCGGTCATGGAGGCCGTCACGGACAGCACGGGCTACGAGCTGCGAGTATTGCACGCAGCTGCGGACGGTGTGGAGCCCGCTTTGCTCTTGTCAGCTCCGAAAAAGAAGGCAGAATATCTCCTCAATGTGCCGGATGGCTTCTCTCGGCTTGCGCTGGAGCACAAATCAACACCATCAGGACGTCTTTCTTGCATTCTCCTGACTTCTCTACTCCCTGCAGCCACCGTAAGTTTCGATCTCCTGTCCAATAATTCACATTCTTCGTATGCTTGAAGGTCTCGTATGCTTGAAGGTCTCGTATGCAATCCCGGCATGTGCGTGCCTTTATCGGAGACGCTCAGCATGGATTCTGTAAATTGTCGTAGGTCCGATCACAAGCTGCAAGAGGCTGCTAACCTATTCTTCCTGCTCTCCAAGAGCTCGGATGAATGCCATTTACTTCATTTCAAATATCTCGAACCTTCAGGTCGTCAATTTAGATGGAGCGAACGGGTTCCAGCTTTGAACAACGATGGGCCATTGTATCTGTATCTTCCATCTTTCAAAGCTAATTATCACACGCGGCATAGAAAGCGTACAAATAGTCTGTCTGCTCGAGTTGAGGGATTTTGACACAGTAAATTGCAAGTGGCCATATCTAGTTCAAACGTTTTTACTCGATGACTGCGTAGAATTGAAGGGACCGTGGAGCTCCACTTGCCGTGAATTGGTAGGTCTCGTATTCTGCTGGGCGTGGCAAATTGAATTCACACGACTTGAACTGGGGATTTGTTTTCGGGGAGCAGGGGGGATTCGGGGGGCTTATGCTCAGACTGAGGCATGACGGACACGGGCAATTACAAATGATCGGACCGGAGGGAACGACTGCAATTGTTCATTCTCTGCGCCATGTTTGTCGGTGGCGACATCCGAAGGTGTTTGTCAGCGAATGTAGAGGGAATCGTCCTCTTCCTGTATTTGAAGATGAATACATTGTGATCGTCCCGGTAGTGGAGGGAGACCAGGCCACTGAATGCCCTTGGTGCCTTTACGGGGCCACCAGTGAAATCCCCAAAAGCGAACAGCAGAAGAAAGCTCCGAGCGTCATCGATTCTGCCACTAGTAGCTCGTCAGAATCCTCTGAGTCGAGTGACGATTCGAGTGAGGACTCTAGTGACAGCTCTCGTGCCCTGGACCGAGAGGTCTCTAGCCGTCCCACAGGCTCCAATGGCATTTTACCGCAGAGGAGGAAGAGAGAAGAGAACGCCCAATCATTCTCGGATACAGAGGAGGATGTTTTTGATCAGCTCAGGCTCAAGATAGACAAGTCAAGGAGGGATCGGATGGATGCATTCAGCAAGTTCCCCCGGGTATCTCCTACGATTCAAGCACCCGCGAGCCACGGCATCGGTGAATCGATTGTATTGCACCGGGAAGAACGGAAGGAGACGTTGGAGGAACATCTGCAATCTGCTCCTGAACAAGAGGTTTATGAAGTCGGTTCGGTAATTGAGAAGGGAGTGCTGCCGCAGGACTGCTCTGTTTCTCCAATGAAACCTTATAACTGGCTTTTGAACAACGACCAAGACGTCGAGCTTCCTGACGTCGATGAAGAGGCAAATCCAGTGTTCCAGTTAGCTCCGAGTCCGGGTAAGCAGCCGGATGCAGCGTCTGGGCGAGCAGGGAGCACCGGCCCTTCATCTGTCTTGGGGTACGTTTGCTACTTGCGGAAGTTGCGCACAGCTGTCTTGATAATTGCGTGTACGAGTGAGGAAAACCTCGAGAGTCTAAGAGAACACCCGCTAGTGAATTGCCCTCATCGTCCTGATAGAACAGAGTCCATTGAGAGAGGCGAATCGAGAGTGAGAAAGGCGCACTCTATCGCTGCAGTCGTCGATCTCTCCCCTCGTAGCATCACCAAATCGAGGGAATACGAGCTTTGGATCGAGTCCTTGCGAAGCTCTGGTCCTCATGTCGTCGTGAAGAGAGCCCATGGCGAGTTTGGATTCCAGTCATCCCTCGCTACCCTCGCCAAGCTCAACTGCATTCACAAGAGTATTTTTCCATTACCCCCCAGCATGGATGTCTGCGGAAAGACTGACCTAGCATCCGCAAAGCAAGCCGCCGCTGATGGGGAAAAACTCTTGGATGGGGCCTTAGGCATGAGACTTATCTTCGATAAATCTGGCACCTGGGTCGATCATTCCATGTGTCCTACTAAGCTTATGAAATTACAGGAAGCGTTGAGGCAATCGGCTCTTCATTCTCCAGACACTCGAGGTGATGAGCTTTTAGCAGCCATCGGTACCCCTAGCATCCTTAGTGCCAACGCAGAGGCAGCTGCTGCCTTGAGGAAGAAATTACAACTACAACGAACAGCCGATCGTCCCCCCTTGACCTCATCAGTGCAGAGTTCCCCATCCGCGAAGAGCTTCCTGCATTCTCAACAGGAAGCCTCTCTGGAGCCTTTTTCCTGCTCCGAGAACAGTGGTCCCATCTCTCACCGCTCTGGCACCCCCGTGCATCGAGATGTTAACCAATGTGAGCTAGATTTTGATTTTCAGCTAGTTTTTTTCGGGACAGGATGCGCTGAGCCCAGCAAGAAACGAGGGAGTAGTGGTATACTTTTGCAAGTGAAAGGAACGGACAGAGCCCTCTTGATGGAAGCAGGTGAAGGGGTGGCCGGACAGTTTGTTCGGAGATTCGGTGATGAGGAGGCCCAAACCATCATTTCTTCTCTTGAATGTCTCTGGCTGTCTCACAAACATGGAGACCACGTCCTCGGAGTTCTTTCCATTCTCGAGGCACGCAGACAGCAGAGAGAGCCCATGGTCGTCATCGGACCTCAAAAAGTTGGCTCCTGGCTTTTTGAGGTCCGAGATATCCGTGCAGCCATGGGTTGCCCTGTGCCTGAGTTTCATTTCATCCGTTGTCAGGACCTCGTAGTGGCTGGCCGATTTTTGGCCGACAGAGAACAACGAAAGCTCTTCGATAGAGTACTCGCTAACTTGCAGCTGCAGAGCCTGAGGCTGATTAGAGTCTTCCACTGTTTCGACGCTTATGGGATAATCCTGCGAGGAAAGAGTGGATGGAGTTTGGTGTACTCTGGTGATACGAGACCTTGTAAACAACTCGAACAAGCCGGCCATGGCTGCACGGTCTTAATTCACGAGGCTACATTTGAAGATGAATTGATCGAGCAAGCCAAGCAAAAACGTCATAGTACTGTTTCCGAAGCACTCAAGGCTGGAATGAACATGGGAGCACAGAACATCATTCTGACTCACTTCAGTCAACGGTATCCGGAGATGGTAGCCATGTGCAGTGATCAAGATCAAAGAGTATCAGTCGCCTTCGATGGCATGGTCGTGCCCAGCCATTTACTCGGATCTCTTTCCAGGCTGTTGCCCTCGATTGCTTCAGTTTGTCTGAAGGTGGATAGGACCAAACCATCAGAGACAGACAAGTTTACGCATGAAGATTCCTACAAGCCTGCAAATCATGAACCTCCTGCTCAAATTACTGAGAAGCAAGAAGATGATGATTTAGGTTCCGTGCATCTGGCTGCCTCTCATCGGGGCTCTGGTACTCGTACGCATGTGGAATGTGAGGAGCGGCCAGTAGCTAAGCCGAACCATATTAGATGGTCTGGAGACTCGGAGGACGATGAAGGTGACGTGGGAGCTCCAGCACCACACCTGGATGTTGAAGATGCATCAATTCAATGGTCATCGGATTCGGGAGCAGATGAATCACTCAAAATACCTGAGTTTCAAGGCAGGTCTAGTTCCCTGGTTTGCTCAGAAGATGCAGGAGCAGTGGCTCTTGTTCTGGACAGCGGGGTAACTCTTGTAGCTCCGAGAGAAGCAAATCGTGATGTTTTACTCACTTCTGCCACCGAGCTCTGCCGAGATGAGGTACAGGGCCTTGCTCATTCAGTTGACAGGCCCAGGCTTCAAAAGTCGAAGACGGGATCTCGAAGGGCACTTAGGAAAAGTTCCTTCAAAAGTCCAGGCACAGCTGAAGTAGTTAGCTCAGTGGACCATTTTTTGAAAGGTATTGACCACTATGGTAGAATAGGATCAGTAGGGCTCTATGAGAATGGAGAAAATTGTACATCTTCAAGTCTTGACTTTGCGGGAAGTAGAAGTAACGGTGGCAAACACATTCGTTGGATTGATTCTGATACGGAGGACTAGTTGCAAGAGGATTTAGGGGAATGTTAAGATCAGTGTTGCAAATGATAATTATTCATATTTGCAAATATGAATATGAAATTCATATTCACTCAGCAGCGTTAAAGTCTTGCACGTTTTTTACTCGGTTATTTTATGCTCTATCTATTGGATGGATGTTCTTGCCGTTTTCAATGGCTTTTGAAAATATCCTGCCCGTGACACCGTTATACGCTGTTGGAACATTTGGACGAATGTTACTTCAAGCACCTACAGCCTTATGTCTGTACACCGTGGGGAGTTGACGGTCGTGCAGATCTGGTGGATAGATCCCGATAAATACCGAGGATCATCTGCAAGGCGCTTGAGGTGAACGTCATAAGTAGGGTGGCTCTTACTACGTGTTTCTTCTAAGCTGAGTGAAGTTCTCCTAAGAATTTCCCGCAATTGTATTACAGTTCGGCTACTGGATCTATGTCTCCTCGTTGAACAAGTTCTGCTTGCAAGTGGCCTCCCTCGCACGGAAATTTATAAGTGAAATTGTTTTTGAAGCACCTAGCAATGTCAGGGAAGCACAAAGTAAGCATCTGCGTTGACAGCTTCTACTGCGACGTGTAGTATATGATTGATTATTTTCAAAAGAGAATCTCAATGCCTGGCCACGGGCAGACTTCGTCAGCCGCCTTAAAGTTCATTTTAGGATCTTATAATCCCGACTTTGTTTGGGTAAAGATTCTTAGAAGTCGTGAATTCTTCAAGGTCGTGGATTGAGAACGTTCTTGATTTCACGTTGTGCTGGCACCTGGTGCTGATATGTGGATGACGCTGTCAGCAAAAACTGCATATTACAGGTCTTTTCAAAAACATCATGTAATTTGATCAAGCCCCAGATAGTACTTACTACTTTAAATTGAATTTAACATTTAAGGATCAGATAATTTACAAACAGGCACAATACCGTAATCGGTTACTGTACTTCCAATAAATAAATTCTAGCATCGGAAGCGCTAAAATCCTGTACAAAAGAATGCCTACAGAATTTACAAGGAACCAGCTATAACCAAAGATGAACCTTGTATTCGGTCATCAGTTCTGTATATCGGACTTACTGGGCTTTTCCTCCAACTTAGTGTCAGATCTAACTGATTCCTCGATGTCCAAATCGCCGGTCAAGAGTCTCACGTATGCCAATTGAGTCATAAGCATAGACAGGATGATGCCATATGAAGCAAACTTGGAAACCCGCATCATCGATCCTGCAACAAAAGCTGCACATGGATAAACCCAAGTTAAACCAGCATTTACTACAATACTAGATCTTTGTGAAGTTAACAAAGTGAGCAATGGACCCAATTTACAGGTACTAGAAATAGAAACCTCATCCATGATTTTGAAGGGCCAAGCTATGATCTTACCTGAGCTAGAACTCCAAATAAATGAAACGATAACTAACGATAACCCCCCGTACAGTATCTGCCTGTAGCTGGTGGTAAAATCTCTACTGGGCGACGTTACAATGGTCACTTTCTGCAAAAGAAAAACCCAAAGAATCTCATTAATTTCCAATTATCGTTCCATTTTTGTATGTTAAAAATACTTACAACACTCAGATGTCTACAATTTTCATGTGTACGCTGAGTGATTTACTGCATAAGAGATCTTCTCACACAAAGAGGTCTACCACCGCGTACATAACCTTAATGTACTGAATTGGTAACAAAGAAAACTGCATGAAGTTCGGGCATGTACCTTCAATTTTGGCTGATATAGGGTTGATCGGCTTCGCAGAGGGAGAGGCGCCTCATACAGATTCTTGAAAAAAAGTCCCTCGTTTCTGGAATATGTGGACCGAATCTGATACTCCTCGAACTCCTTTTCCTGTGCCTGGAAGTCAACTCAATTCATTATTCAAAATCCATTATACGGTCATTAGAACTTCTTTCCATTTTGAAACTCTTTCTTATGACACTCGTGTTTTCATAAAACAGCAATCACACATTTCCAACAGCTTCAAGCTTCGAAAGATATACACCCTCTGCGGGTCATTCTGACTCCTGCACCTAGTTGGGCTAACGGACTTAGGACTCCATTCAGATAGAGTCCGGGCAGTACAGTATATGAGGGGCTGAGCCAGGAGGGACCTGACCGGTGGGCCTTGGGCCCAAATCTCAGTGAAGATATGACCCTGGGGCGACAGGTTCAATCATGATAGGGGTTTTGGAAGGGAATAGCCAAAACTTTCAGACATAAAGATTACCTCCAATTCAGCACCCGCGATTCTCAACTCACGCTCAATTGCATACGCATCCTGATCTAACTGGCGAAGAACCTGCAAGAAGACACCATGACAGTGTCCCTTTAATGGTGAATGTGTGGAAAGTAGTGTGGATGCGTTGAACACTAACCGAATGATTCTATGCTATACGACGTATTACATTCTATCACATGTTTTACTTTTAAGAGTGCAATCGATGATCATCGCATCTGAATGTGTAAATACGGACTGGCATATAGAACCTTATTAGTGACAGTAAATGGGTTCTTTGAAGTTGGCTTACCCTGCTACCGGTAGCATCTAGACCCTTCATCGTACGCATAGCAATACGATTATATTCCCGCTGTGCTTCATCTGCAATCATCCTCATGTACTCTGACCTTTCGTCGACGAAGTCATTCATCCGAGCCTTGCCGAGTTGTATCTGTACCATCTCTACCAGCATCTGCTGGACCCTCGGGTCTCCACCCATGGCATCATCACTGCGACTAGAACCAGAACTGTACGCGCACCGTAATTGTGTCCTCCTCACTTTCCTCCCACTGCCTCCTGATGCCTCTACACCTTTTCCTGATCCCCTCAAGACTCCGCTACGTCCTGGTAAGCAACTTCCAATCGCGAGAGGTGTGCAGCTCAGCCGAGCTGTACATCCTTCCATTTCTGTTTTCTTTATCTAATTCCTGTCACAATCATGAAACAGAATTACAGTCATTTCATAAGTACTTACTAATTGGGTTTTCATGAGTAAATCTGAGATTGTCCAAGTAGAGCAAACTGAACAGGCTTCGAGTCAAAAAGTTCATGATACGAAGTGACCAATGGGCGGATGTCTTTTATATACACATCCAAGAGTTGGGCTCGGTTTCAGGATGGTCGTACTGCTGAGCCTTCACCCTGGCGCAGATTAGTAATCTATTCAGTACAGGCATGGATCTTCAAGGATTCTATCCGGAAACTAAAGAGAATTGCGAGGCGAATCTCGGAGAACAATTCACCAATAGCCTTGGTGCTCGTTACACGTGAAATTCGTGTCGCGGACATGTAGAGGGAGAGTTTAAAGCGTCTACACAGAGGGTTGTGGTGTCAGCAAAGAAGTAGTCCCGGCGTTATTCAACACTCTGTAACGAAAACATGTTATACAAACGAACGACGCTCAATCTTCGGTCAGTTTCTTTCTCCTCCTACTAATCTTTCACGTCACAAGCTAGAATCTTCGCGGAAACCCGAATTACCAAGTGATTTCTGAACGTTTGATCTGATAATATCTTCCGTATGAAGACTGTCTCCAATTCTGCAAGCGCGGATAAATGAGTCCATCTTGACGAAGTTTTTCACAAGTTTCCGCCATGCAAAGGTTCTTCAGTGCTCAAGCATCTAAACAGGAGCACTCAAACACATGACATAAAGAACTATCAACAATTTGAAATTCGATTAGCATCTACACAATTCAGGGCCTTACCCAAACGATCACTTGTGTCAGCAGCCGCCAGCGACAGATCCACTCTTCAAGGTGATCGCTATTCTATTCTGCTACAGGTTCGCAATCTTGTCGCAACAGAGAGCCAATACCAGCATCTCTCTCTTCGATCTTTCGGTGGATCAGGAGATCTAATTTCGTCGGATTCTCAAATCAAATCAAGTATCAAAAGATGATATATCCAGAACCAACTTTCTTCGCCGCTCGAAATTCCGGCAACAATTAAAAGCAGGTGGAAGCGACTCTCCCTCAATTTCGAGGGAATAAAGAACGTAAAAAGAATTCACCTCCGGCGGCTGCAGATCCAGGAGCGAGTTCGAAGGGCGGCACAATTTGCGAAAGGAACAGAGAATGAACGCAGACTCGTTACAGACAGAGACTGGGAACTAGTTCCGTTTCGTCCACTTTACACGATCGATCATCGATCGTTCATGTTTTGACAAGCAACTTGCTTTCACTCGAGGACGCCTGAAGGGCACACGCCACTCCCTCCTTTTCGGTCCACCGGATTTTGTTTTTCACCATAGGTTTTGAGTTTTACTCACCGACTTTTGGCTTGGACTGCCAAGATTCTGTACCGAGTGACTCCTCATTCCCGGTCGCTGTGGAAACCTTGGCGCCGCCGCTGGCTACCGCGCAAAGTGCCACGTGGTGTGGTTCCAACGGCCGTCAAGGTCTGCTGCTTTACCGTCGAATTTGGAGCATGGACTTATTACTCGTCTCCTCTGCATCTCCGGCTCTCCGATCGTTGACTTGAAATCCAGTCCCACAACCTCACACGTCATCGTCGCAGAGTCCCAATATTTTCTCGAATCAAGAGTTGCCAGGTCTACAAAAGAAACACGTGGTTTTCCCCGTCACAGCTTGGGGTGGTCGTCTACAGCGCGACGTCAGTCATAGCCACCAATGAAGATGATTTAAGAGTCTTACTACGCGACGGACTTAAGAAGTCACCAGTCGTGTCGGATCGGATGCAAGTAAAGTAATTCCTCGGCACGACGTCTTGTGATGCCACCGTGTTGTGGCATCACCGGAATGAGGGTACGGACCCGTGGCCATGACTTCAACGACGGACCCGAGCAGAGCATGCACCGTAGTGAAGTCGACGGTGGAACACTGACTGCCCTCAGCTGAACGTGAGGTGGGGGGCACGTGCTGGACGCCAGCATGGCCATTTCATAACCGTCCGCTGTAGACGCGTGGCATAAACGACGGGAGGTCCAGATGCACCCGCCTTCATGAAAGCCTGGAAGCGGCAAAAGCCCGTTCATTTGTGGAAAGACTGCGAGACGGCTGTGGGTGACGAGGCCTGTAGCAGGGAATCTTCCTCCTCATATTTGGGAGACAGGCTCCTGCACAGAACAGTCGTTGCAATGGGAAGGTCGCATGAAGGCCTACCGCTCGATCGCAACAAGTAGAAAATTATTTAAACCTTCTAAGTACATTAACCTCGCGTATAAGTAGGCACCCGTTTAATTATGTCTCCCTACAAAGACATATCTAAGTTGATCTAATTCAACATGTCATGAAGTTTATTGCGTTTCATTTTGCTATGAAGTATTCAAACATCTGTCTAAGATCATCAAAATGTTCCTTCGACTCTTTTTGAACCGATGAGCAGAGCAATCGATACTCTATATCAACAACACCACAAGAATAATTATCATAGCTCCATACATTCAACAAAGAGTGTAGAGAATCAATACCACAACGTGTTAGTCCAAATCCATGCTAAAAGCACATTGCAATTGTATCTTGAATTCAGACGGAAGCTCGCGGTACCGGATACAAAATTAAATTCAAAGTGGTTCGCGGCGGTTGTCCAAGTCCGCCCTAGAAGCACATTGCAGTTGTATCTTGAATTCAGAAATAAGGGCTTGATACCGGATACAATATAAAATTCAAAATGGCTAGCGGCTGTCCAAATCTGCGCTAGAAGCACATTGCAGTTGTATCTTGAATTCATACGGAAGGAGTGGTATCGGATACAAAAATAAATTCAAAATGGCTGGCGGCGGTTGTACAAATCCGTGCTAGAAACACATTGCAATTGTATCTTGAATTCAGACGGAAGGGCATGGTACCAGCTACAAAATGGCTGGCAGCGGTTGACCATGCTCGTGTAATTTTCTTGAGTTTTATTTTCAAAGTAATAGCCCAGACTTTGCTATGAAACAATGCAAACAACTATCTAAGATCATCAAATCTTTACTTCAACTCCTTTTTAACTTCTGAACATAGAATTTGAACTCTATATCAACAACTTACTTATAGAGTGACTCAAATTTTGTAAACAAAATATTGTTTTCTAAATCAAAAGCTAAATATTGAGAGTTAGAAAGATCATCATCACTTCTGTCAGCCGGATTTTTTTTCCACAACCTTCATAGTAGTCCAAAATTTTAACTGTAAATACTTCACAGTATTCATCGTGGATACGAATCAATTCCTAAACCTCTTCTTGTCCAACCAAAAAATTTAAAGTTACAATAGTTTGTGTAACTTCTCTCACTAAATTTTTCATTTCGTTCATTGCTTCTTGGTCAGTTTCCAATGTCATTAACTCTGTCTTAACAATTGCATTTTTTATAGAGCTTGGTGACACGAATTGCCAAGTTTTTTTTTACATAACTCGCAACATCAAGAAAGTGAGTTGGATTTGCATATGCAACTTCAAACAGCACCACGATTTGATCTTTGTCCACGTTCTTAATTGAAGTTTTCTATTCTCATTAAATTCATAGAAGTCAACAACATCTCTTGTTGTTTTCAACTTGTGCGATATGCAGTAAAGAAGACCATACTAATATTGTCGCGTTCAAAAGACTCAAAGTGTACGGAGTCATGATCTATTACCAAAAGAATTTGATTTCCAATTCATTTTTTCACTTTTGGAAAAAACATTTTGTTGAATCATTTCCAACATGTTTAAACATATATCTAAACTTTCACTTGAATGATATATGAATTAGGCTATTGATTATTCTTAATATAAGCTGGTGTTTTTAGTTTAACATATTTTTTGGTTTTTGTGCAAAATATTTTGTAGATTTTCATAGCTTTGACATAGAAATCTCGCATATGAAGATTGCATCTCGAGAGAAGTAAAAAATTAAGCAGGTCTCAACCACATTGTAAACGTTTTGAGTATCATATTTGGATGTGATCATATAGAATTTGTCTAAAGCTGTCAATAATACATGATCAAATTTATTTACTTCAGTACACTCTTCATGAAATAGCATCTTCTGCAATACTTGGTGCATTCTAAGTCGACTTAATCATTGCCAAGATGTCTTGAAATTAATTTCTAGAATTATTAAAATTGATGCAATATTCTTTGCTTTGACAATGACAAAAGATGGCAGAACAAGTAGATTGGCACAACATGTATGCAGTCAATTCATACATAAAACATGTCTTCAAATTCAAGAAAATGATCAATAGAAAATCAAAGGATCTTCTCTTTAGTTTCATCGCTTTAGAATTTTTTCTCGTTTGTTTAACACCTGTCTGCTCCTTCACTTACATTGTACTCACACAATAAAGATTTTTTACTAATAACATCTGTCTTCTTCAATTTCTTGATGATATCGCATTGCTGCATCTTGTTGAGACGTTTACTTGTCAATAACTTTGACATTGCAACTTCAACAAATTTCTTTGACATTGTATTTTCAACAATTACATGTGCTTGATATAAACACTTGCTTGCATTCTTGCTCACTTGCTAGCCAGCTACAATCATCCGCATTAGCTTTTGTTCACAGTAGAAACGGAGGTAAAAGAAAAAGAATTCAATTAGGTGAAATAGAAGTTTGTTGCCATTATTTGCCACATACATGTCATGCAATAACTTTAAAGTGACAAATGAATCCGATGGAATAAGATCAAACAACAATAAGCTCAAGCAACACACATACATGTCATGCTCTCCAAATCATCATTTATTTTGATTTATTATTATATAGCATCCGTGATATAAATATTCGCACATTCTGTCGTAACGTCTCGACTTGCAACAACTTTCAAGCGTCAAATTAACCTACCACCCTTCGCATCATCAATGCACCGCAACATACATGCATGCTAGCAACAACTTATAAGCTACAAATGAATCCGATGGAATAAGATCAAACAATAATAAGCCCAAACAAAAACTCCGTGTGGTATAAATGTGACATATGGTCATTCGTAAAAGGAGTTATGTTTAATTCGCAATGATAATTATTTAGTTGGCAAAATACATGTTTGTGTTTGTTTTAAGTACACATGTTTAGTTGGCAAAAGTATCTACTTGTATTGAGTACGCATCTCTCGATCAGGTATGCAAATTGATCATATGATGATTTTGTTGTACATACATTGATAAGTTATAGTTGTTGTATTGCTTGCTAAACACCATTAACGATCTTTACTTATGGACTACACCGTTGTTGACCATAGTTTTAGAACAGTGGTGAAAACTACCAAACATCTTTAGAAGAACCAAAATAGAATTAAAAAATTAAACACTAATGGTCCCAAGCTTCACAAAATTAGATATTACACTACTCTAACCGTAATAAAATTTCCAGTAGTAAAGAACTTCAGCACTGCAAAGTGCATCTCATTCAAATCATGAGCAATTTTAGACTCACATGTACCAAATTTCATTCAATATCACTCTTCATGCTAATCCAAATCTAATGAACTGGAAAGAGGAAATGCATTCTCTGCAAGTATCTGAAATGCAGAGTTCTTATTCTCGCGTAAAGCCAACGAAAGACAGAAGTGTAATAGCGCGCGGTAATAGAAACTACTCGCGCTTGTTATCGTGATCGCAAATACTTTCTAGGTTCAATTTGCGTACTTGACCAGGAGAATATTGTACTTACCGTTTGCCTTTACAAAGTGTTTTGGGATTACAAAACTGCCATTGATGATTGAGTATTGAGATTCTCTCAAGCATTTTGCATTAAAATGCCTCTTGTTTCGAAGAGGAGTACATCTTCTCCACTATGCGTTGAAGATTACTGCAAATGACATGCAAAAAACTGTCAAACCATTGGAATGTTTCTTTTGTGTAGATTCAGGCCGCGAACCACAAGAAGTCTACAATGTGAAGCTTCAGAGAACAGAAGTTAAAATTTACCAAGCTTCAATTGTGCTGAAATTATCTTGATACTATTTTACCCACTAACTACATTAATGGTTTGTTTGATGGAGATAAATGAACGAGTATGCTACAAATTGCAGGGTAAAGTCGTCTGTTCAATTCCGTTGTAACATGCTAATAACTTCTTTTGCAAATCTAATGAATTAGTGGTTAGGTCCAAAGTTAAGTTTCAAAATCGTTGTCAAACTCGTATGAATGACAGAAGAACTCTGTGAAGCTTTTGAATAGTTGTCTTCTTATTTTAATGGATTATAAGTAGACTCAGATAGCGAAAAAACAATCTGAAAAAACCTGAGGATTCTACACCATAATAGCATACTACCATCAGGACTAGCCCATAAGGCTATACACCTGCAACTGGTGCAAGACTTCTCTCTTTTGAAAATGTGTTGAACTTGTACCATGCACATTGTACATGTCAATGAACCAGAGTTTGACATATCAGTCGTGGATTTCTCATTCATATATATATATATATATATATATATAGAGAGAGAGAGAGAGAGAGAGACACGATACATCAATTTCATTCATGTTCATCGCAAAACACATCTGTGAGTACTTCAATTGTACTCTCTAGTAACTCTAGAAGAAACAACAGGATAGTACTCATTCCGAATAGTCCGTTAAAACTTATTTCTCATGAACCGCTGTCGACCAACACATTTGAACTGAATCACGGTGCTTCAAGTTTTCATGATTTCTTCAAGAAGATCAACCCCAAAGTGTGAACAGACAAATTTGAAGACTTTCGGTGGAGAAACAACTTTGTAGACAAAATATCAAGGGCTGAAATACTCAAAAGTTGAACTTGGTATTCATTTCCGCATTTGGACAGAGTTAGATCACAAGTACAGTACACTACGTCGAACACACCGTATTCGTGTATATACAAGAATACCTAGGAACTGGGAGGAGAGACTTTGTTGACAAGGTGAAGGTGATAGCAAGCCAGTACAAGCCAGGACAAAAATGATTTCGCAAGGCCAGCCATTACTAGGTCGACCGATAATATCATCCCTTTAAATAAAATGTCCAAGGCCGGCCAGTCAGCTTGCACTGTCATCGAGTGACAGTAGGGGATACAAGAAGCGATGGTGATCAGATAGAACCACTCACTTGTATAATCCTTATATCCGAATGATGCCTCGATCTTAATTCGCGTATCTATTTCAACATCGAGCAGAAGCTTAAAAATTTAAACCAAGCCAGATGAAACACTGTTAGCGCTCTGCAGGCCAGCTCTAATTACCTATTAAGTTCTTCCGTAAGTTCTCAAGTCGCAGCGTTCACACTTTCCCCTCATCAGACAGAAAGTGTGGCTGTCTAGAGGGGGGACACAACGCGCTTGTGGCTGCGCCGATGCTCGCACAGGAGGCATAGAGAGGAAATCTGCGTGCACCAATCTAAATGAAGAAATTTTCGTATGTGTCACCAGCCGGGACAAGGAGCTGTTTGTCAGTAAGGCATCTCTATCGGAGTATCCGCTATTCTACTCATGGTGCCATTGAAACAGCCCGCGTAGCATCCTTTGCTGGTTGCCCTGATTAATAGAAGAAAAGCTGGCAGACTTGGCCCACAGATACGAGAAATAAAAAGCAGTTCAGCATTGAGCTCCCAATCTGCTGAAATCTGCTCGACTACCCACTCCTGTCGGAGACGAGCAAGTCCTCGCGAACGTTCGGGCAGAACTTTTTTACGGAAATTTCAGAGCCCTCGCCGTCCTGTCTGCCCAAGATCCTGGATGTTCATTAAAAGTGCGCCCAGATTTCGTGATGCAAAATTGTGCTACTGGAGACAGGATGGCAATTCATCAAGAAGAGAGCTTGCGAGATGGTGCGTCGTAGTTGTGTCTGAGCAGGCCCTCAACCCTAAGCAGGCCAGCCCTAACCCTGCTCTTCCTCGAAGGTAGCCGAGTCCAATCAGATACCCAATTGCAAGACGGGTTTCTCCTACGGCTGGGCGAATCGAATCTAATCAGTTCTAGTCAAATCGTTCAAAAGCACGTAGACTCGACTCGATTAGGCTGATCAGTCAACCCCACTAAAGAGGATTAGACTGAGAACGAGATAACCGGCGATCAGTGTCACCGAACGAAAAAGAATGTGACGACAGTCCTCGGAACGAAGACTGAAGTCTGAGATGGACGCGCTGGTTTTCCCCACGATCACAGACCGAATTCCGCCCTCTCTCTCGACTGCCTTCCACTGTGTTTCGAGGGGGCCGCGCACACACATTCGACTCCCCGTCGCTTGTGCATGTAGTGAGCGAAGTCGAAAACGGAAGGGGTGTGTCGAGAAACTTTAGCAAACGCGTACACGCCTTCCTCGGAGCCCCGCGTGCAGATCCAACCCATGTCCTCCAATTTCTCGAGCCACCCGGAGAGCACGTCCATCGCCACAGCCTTGGGAGGAACCTCGACGACCAGATCCTGCAGCGCCTCGAGCTGCTCGAACGAGTCGGGAATATCCGGCAGGGCCTTGACGCCCTTGCTGAGCGAGATGCGCATCTTCTCGAGCATCGACAGCCCTCCGAACGTCTCGGGCAGCGCCTGCAGATGGCACGAGAGGATCTTCAACGTCTGCAGCGCGGGCAGGCGTCCGAACGAGTCGGGCAGCTTGGTGAAGATCCGGCTCTGGAGCTCCATCTCCAGCCTCTGCAGCCCGCGAAGGTGCCCGAACGAGACGGGCAGGCACGGCAGGTTCTCGCACTGGTGGATGGTCAGCGTCTTCATCGCCCAGAGGTGCCCGAAAGTCTCGGGCAGCGAGCGCAGGCTCGGCAGCTTTTCCAACTTCAGCGTCTGCAGGGACTTGAGGCGCCCGAAAGATTCGGGCAGCGTCCGCAGCTGGCACCGATGAATGGTCAAAGACTGGAGGGTGAGGAGCTGCCCAAACGAAGCGGGCAGCGCCGACAGGTCGTAGCATTCGACGATTTTGAACTTCCTCAGAGACCGGAGCTCGCCGAACGAGTCGGGCAGCTTCCTCAAGCCCAGGCATTGGGTCATCTCCAGGTCCTGGAGAGAGGACAGCTGCCCGAATGACGAGGGCAGCTTGGCCAGCTCGTAAAAGTGCAGAAGCTTCAGCGTGTGAAGAGCATGCAGCTGCCCGAAGCAACCGGGCAGCTCCTTCAGCCTCTCGCAGTACCGAATCTCGAGATCCTTCAGACCTTGCAGCTGCCCGAAGGACTCCGGCAAGGTCAGCTGATTGCAAGACGACAGAACCATGCTCTCCAGCCCCGTGAGCTCCCCGATGGAGTCGGGCAGGGAGAAGAGCTTTTGGCAGGAATATATATCCAGCTTCCGCAAGTTCTGTAAGCGGCCGAAGTTGTCGGGCAGCTCGTCCACCGTCAGCGAGTGCAGCTCCAGAACCCGCAGCGACGCCAGCTCCCCGAAAGTAGCCGGCAGCTTCTGGAGCGCGCGGCACTGCAGGCACAGCCTCTCGAGTGTCGTCAGCTGCCCGAACGACTCCGGAAGCGCGGCCAGCTCGCGCGTTCGCAGGTCCAGGTACTCGAGGCGCGGGAGGCAGCCGAATTTGGGCGGGAGTTCCTTCACGGCACTCGATCTCAGAAGCAGCACGCGCAGCTGAGCGAGCTTGTGGAAGCCGGTCGGCAGTGTCGACTTCGACGACGACGAAATGCTTCCCGGCGACCCGGGGCGGTCGATTTTCGGGTCCGTGCATATTTCCAGGGCCGCCAGGTTGGCGAGGCTTGCCAGGTCGGTGTCTCTGATCGGCCAGTTGTGCCAGCTCATGGACGAGCTATGGAGCACCCTCCTGCAGTGATGAAGGCTCAGCAGAGCGAGGCTCGACGAAAATTTCACGATGAACCCCGAGATGTCTACGTTTTCCAGGACCAGGTAGCGAAGGTCCGGCAAGTAGAAACAGCTCGCCGGTATGTTGGTCCTGAGCTCCCGGCAGCGCCGATTCTCGACATACGACACCTTCAGTCCTTTGATCATAGGCTCTCCCTGCAGTCACACACGCCTCTCGTCATCAGGAGTTCTCATTGAGCTCAATGGAAAGCAAAACCTCTAACCGAAGATCGTCATCCTGCCTGCGTGGCGGCCTTCAAGTTGCTCGGGGATTTTGACTTCCCGACTGCCCATGCCCCGCAGTCAAATAAGTAAAACATTCAACTACTTCAGGTTGGAGCTCAGATCACTCGCGGTAAGTGACCTTTAGACTACTGGCTCACTAGTCCTATCAGATTCTTCTGGCAGAGAAGATCAACAATCTTATTGGATGATCATCGTACTCCGCAAGGCCGAAATCTGCCTCGGGGGCATCGAGTCATGTGAGTCCAGTATACTGAGTATAGATGGAGGGATTCTGGATATATGTATGCGTTACTGAATGGTGAGGTAGCGTTACTGAATGGTGAGGTACGTCTTGATGGCCCCAGCCACGAAAAATTGTTCTATCACTTCCAGTTAAGTGACCACCACCTGTCAGCAAATCCGGTTGATCTGTGATCTCGCAGTTCCGAACTTACATGTTTCAGTTGAATGAAGCCACAAGCTAGTTCTGTTTGCATTTCACCTCATCAACTCTTTCGGGAGAACAGGCAGGAAGAGGTTGGGGTTAGGGTACTGGCACCATGTTCAACAGACGTACCTTAGCGTTGGTAGTTATCAGGTTATTGAGAGCCGGATCTTCTTGTCCCAGACTAGTGCTCACGAGAATTCTGGGACGTGAGTGGGCTGCTATGACCTGTCCCATGTCTCGGAGCTGTGCGTGCATCCAAACCCTCTCCCTCTGCAAAATCAGGCCGCAATCGATATCATTCTTTGTTGCTTGGTGGACGATCCTTATCAGACACCTGTCCACTAGATTCTTCAGGCCCACCTCCGGTGCCTTCATGCTCCTCTTCCACGCTGCCTTCAGCAGCTCTAAATCGTGATGGTCGTAGAATATTGTTGCCAGATCCAGGAACATTTCCTGCTCCATGTTTTCCAGAGACTCGTAGCACAATTTCAATTTATTCCACAGCCTATCGTCGACGCTTCCACTGGCTGATTCTGCTCTCTGGAGCCTGTTGATGGTTTCCTCCCAAACTGCCACGTTCGTTTCTCTGCGGAGATAAGCTCCGACTATCTCCAGCGTGAGAGGCAGGCCCCCACACTGAGCCACTACCTTATTCACCAACTCATCTGGCACTTCTGGATTCTCGGCATGACTACAGAAGAGCATTCTGGATTCCTCTTGAGTGAGGCCACGCACATCATAATTTATAAAATCCGGTAAAACGTCCTCATTGCGCACACGGGACGTTGCGATCACTCTGGTTCCCTTTCCGAACCAGTTTGAATCTATCATGGAAAGCACGATGCTTATCTGTTCCCTGGCATCCACATCATCCATGACTAGCAAAACCTTCTTCCCTTTCAGGGTCTTCCACACAGAAACAGACTGATTAGAACTAGTCCTAACATCCTTCTTCTCGCCTTTGTACAGGTTCTCTCTAATAAGAGCATCCAGGTCCCTCAGTCTCAGTGCCTCCCTCGCGTTATAGATGAACGACGAGTATTCAAAACTTGCGTGGATTTCTATAAACACTGCCCGAGCCAGGGTAGTCTTTCCAATGCCACCCATGCCTACGAGTGCCACCAGCACAGGATGCGCTTCTCTAAGCTGGAGTTGCTCCATTACACGCTCCACCCGCCCTTCTAAACTTACACCATGCTCCGGGAGTCCGCAGTGCAGAAGGAAGTCTTCACTCTCAGCATCCTGCAAGTATTTTGACAATCGATCATCAGATGGGGTAGTTGCTGTACGACGGGCTGCATCTACTTCACCAAGACAAGATTGAGCTCGAGTGGAGTTTAGCCTGCACTCAGTTTACCTCTTGATCGTTAACTATATGCATGACGAAATCCACGAGACACCGGAAACTCTCGGAAGTCCTCTCTTGAGGCTGACAGATACTTAAGTGATTTGTGCCTAGAATTTTGCTGAACATATCCATGTCCAGGCTAGCCTCCCCTTCGTCAACCAGCACAACAGAGCTGGTACCCTGCACACCCTGCAATTTTCAGCCCAGTATCAACGGAGTCAAATTACATGACAGACCAACTTCTCACAGATCAGCTGTGTGATCTTCAATACAACGCATACACCTAGCACACAGATCAAGTCACGGACTCCGATCTAGAATTTGAAAAAGAACGTTCGCCTGAACAAGACGTTCATGTGAGAAAATCCCTCGGAACGCAGTTCCCGTCATCAAATCTTTGAGGATAACTTGCTCATAACAAGTGATGTGGGTAAGCAAGCTCGGAGGGTAACGTTGTTGGCGACAATCAAAACTTGAGATTCAGGATTGAAGTCAGGGGCACAAATATGGAGTAATTGTTGAAACAGGGTGCAAACGGGAGAATCTTCCGGGCTTCCTCTTGCGTAGCACCATCAAAGAAGAGACAATCCTTTTAAATATTTCTCGTCTGAGACCAAAAGCTCGTCCTCAGATGAGGGATGACAGTCAAAGAGCGCTTCTTTGAAGCCAATCAAATATTTGCCCAGAAAGTGCATGCTGTTATGTGTTTCTAACCAAATCGAAGAGGCAGTTGATTAAGGAGACCGAGACCACTCACCGATATTACGGTTTCATCGGCTTCTCCAACACCGTACGTCTTCCAACCGTACTTCCTGCGCAGCTTGGCAAAGTCCTCGTTGATCCTTCCAGTGTCTTCGTTCAACGATTCCAGGTATTTTGGAGTGAGGAAAGGCTCGGTAGATGACAGTATGGCTGCCAATTCTCTTTGCAGAGATCCGCCGTTGGGAGTGGCATAGAAAAAAGTTCCCTTGACGCTGTTCAAAAATTTCTTGATGGGCACGACTCTGGGCGACTCGGAGTAAGTTCGGGACAGTCGCTCGGCATGACTGCAAATTTCCTTGACCACCAGGCCGCCCAGACTGTGCCCGATCAGCACGATTGGACACTGGGTATCTCCCACGGACTCTCCCTCGATCAAAAACGTCGCTAAGCTTACAGCGACAGCGGGCAAATCAATAGAGCCATCCTTCGCCGTATTCTCTGTGATGCTCGTGTCATAGGAAACAGAAAGCACCCTCGACTGAGGAAATTTCTCCACCAACCACGTCGTTATCCAGCTCTGTGACTGATTGGGTGTCATCCACGTTTTCAAGTAAGCCTCGCTGTAATCTCCCAATTGAAGCCCATGAAAGAAAACCAGTTCAATGATGGGAGGCCCTACTTTGGGTCGATGAAGCTCGTGCACGGCATCGATTTCTTGGAACTACATCGGCAACCACAAGAGACACGACGGAGAGTTAGAGACGAGGGGTCAGGTCACGTCAGGGCGGGGCGGGGCAGGGCAGAGCAGAGCAGCAGGTGCTAGACGCTACATCTTCTCAGCACCTGGACCAAAATGCCAGGGGCTACACGCGAAACGATGCACAATGAGGCCCACTCGAGGACTTTCGGTCCACCATACCTTTGGAGTCTCTGCGTTGTAGGCCGGGCCGCCGGACCCTGACGAGCCTGAGTAATCTGATTCCATCATTCTTGACGAAAAAGCGGAATCCGCGCTGATAGATGGAAGTTGGGATTCCATCACATCGCGTAAGACAATCGCATGCCTGTAGTGCCTCACGACGAGTGAGGGCGGAGCCGGGCTAGACAAGCTCGGTGACTGCGGGGCATTGAGCACCCCTTGCGCATTCGCAAAAGGCTAATCCAGGCTTGGAATATGACAGACCGAGAGTGCAGATATTGATTCTGTGTGTGCTTGCAATGGGTGGAAATAGTCAGTATTCGTCGATCGGATATTATGCCGTTCCTCCTCAATCCGCGTGCAGTGTGGGTAATTTGACGTCCTTCTGAGAGGGCCAGAGAGAGCCCCGGAGGACAACGACTCGAACGCAGCGCGAGAGCTCAGGGCTGAGGCTTCTTCTTCCTCGTGTTGCGAGGAACAGATTGGATCCATGGCTGAACCAGTCCACTCCCGCACTAGTTCATGTCGTCGTTCGCGAAGAGGAGGGCACCAGAGGTGCAGCTCATCCAATCTGTCAAGTTTCATCTGCCGGAGCAGAATCTTCCTGGTTGGGCATCACGCAACCCGCCCTTCGGTGATTGCGCACTACAAGGGACGCAATAGTTCAGGTCCCGTTGACAGCTCCTGAAGATCCACGATCAAGGAGTCGAAGACGCTCATGTCTCCCCATGGCTCGTGCTGTGGGTCCGCCATCTTCGATTCACCTGTTCCGCCTCCGCCTCTCGCCTCGGCAGGCCTCGAGTCAACCCGGTCTCAACAGTACCTTCCCGTCGTGTCATGTCGTCGACTGAAACTGTTGAACGAGTCAAACGACGGCGAAAGTTACTCGAGAGCTTCTCGCTCTTCCACCGACCTGCCTGCGCACGCCTCAGAGTGGTAAGTATGGCCGCCACAGCCCAGAGGCATAGATAGCCCAGACCGAGTCCAGGTACCCCCGAGAGCTCTTTGACGGTCTCTCCGATCGTCACCTCACTATATAGCGCTGAAAAGGTTGTTTTCCATCTCGTCTGCCTGGTTAGCCTCTGACGATGAGGAGATTTATGTGCGGAGCGACTGGTTTCGAAGCCCAGCCTCTCGGGCCGTTGCTGGATGACAGCACACTCGAGAGGCCATCAAGGCTCATTCTTCACTTTAGTTTGATTCCCGTCCTGCGCACCTACCTGCCCTCGGTAGCCCTGCTCTCATCGGTATTCTCCATGTTGGGCGGTTGCCTTGAGTCGGATTGTATTCACGCTCGCACTCGGCTCCTAGAGCTGCTGACGTTCCTCCGCAACAACCTCTGCACGGGACTCGTCTGACCTGATCTGGGTTTTGGACTACACTCGAAAGTGTGACCCGTTTTGACCTGAAGACCACCCACACGCCAGTAGATCGGATAAGCAACAGTGCCTACGTGCTCACATGTCAGACTAGAGCCGAACCATCAATTACACACTCGCTGTGAGCGGTTGGCGATTTCTTCGCTCGAGAGAATAAGTGTCTCCTATACTTGTCTTCTCTTAGCGAAGATCGTCTTACAGGTGAGCTATGGTGCCAGGGGTGCATTATCTCCTGTGAACTGGAATCACTGAAACTACGTCGCCGAAAGTGCATGCGAGAGATGGCTTCATGTTTCGTCAAAGGAACCTGCTGATGTAGAGGCTAAAGACAATTTGGGGTGATGGGCGGAATACCTGGGCATTATAAGCTGCCAGATCTGTGAGCAACCGAGGTACAACCGCTCCTTCGAGAATCTTCACAAAACAGGGGCTCGTAATACTGTGATCCATCCCGACATCCCGGAAAGTGACACTGGTTCTATTGATTTTTTAAATCTTCAGTTCCTAAACGGCACGCTTGTATACCATGTCACAACAGTGGACTACTGTATTTGCTCGTCACTTCGATACCTGGAAAAACGGTCTGTGCAGTTCCGGTCTACCACAGACAGCTCATTGCTCGGGTGTGGCGTAGAATACAGAAACTCATCAACCAACACACTACATTCGAAACTCGCAACACTTCGAGAATCTGACTTCAAGGAGATCGACTTTGCGGATGGGAAGAAAGTGCAGGTTGTCGATATGGCATCTTCTGGACAGGTGCACATAACGGCAACTTCTTTGCGTGGAAATATACTGCGCTGTTTCACTTGTACTCCATCTGTCTTTGGTTTCCCACCTCCACTGGACCAACCCCTTGCCGACGACTATAGTCTCACGTTGCTTGCCACTGTTTGGATGTTGACTTGCAACAATAAACACTGTATCCAGAACTTTCCTCGAAGGCCAGAAGCTAGTATTTTCAGACCAGCTCTTGTTTTCATCTTACCAAATCTCTCCGGATTTGACGGATCTGGCATATCGTTGTAGGCCTCATGTGTTCAGACATTAAACTATTATGGTTCTCCACAGACACTACACGTCTTTACTGAGGGACATCAATCCATGTTATTTTCACGACAATATTTTCCTCTACGGCTCCTTCTCACAAAAGCACATAGAAAATCAGGGCGGGGTCCAGATGAAATCACCCAGATTCCGAAGACTATGTAAAAAGGGCAGACCAATCTCATTTGATGTTGCTGCCGGCAACCAAGTTTGAACTTATTCTGCTCTTAATGAACAGTATTTATGCGAATCCCGAGTTTGAGTTCACGCAGAGTTGAAGGTGTAGTTGACTATCAAAAGATGACGATTTGACTGGATGTCCTATAAATCTCGCAGCCTCGTATCCACATTTGAGATCCTTACTTCACGCTTTCACCTGAAAAACCTTCCATCAACGTCATCGACCTGATCAAACCAACAAGTTCAACGGTAACAATGATCCGCGTCGATATGAAACGACCAGAGGTTGAAACGTTGAGAAGATTATATCACCGGTCACGAACATCCCAAACTATTCATCTTAAGAGAAATAAAATCCATATCGCATGCTAATCTGAAGTTTCCTCATAGAGATCCACTGAAGAGCAGATGCAGAAGCTAAAAACTTAAAAGGTACTCACTGATATAATCATAAAATTTGTACAATAAATGGCACAGCCCAAAGCGCACAGTGCGTCGGAACCTTACATCAGATTTGTTACCGTGTAAACTTCAGTTCTTCGATACTTCGATCTCCACAATCATGATCCATAAAGCTCTGGAGGATTTTCCATGTCCGCTGATCACTGTCACCTCTGTACACTACATAATTAAATTTTCCCTGTGGAACAGTCGGACCCTCTTTCTGGTCCACAGACATTACTGCTCAGACATTCGAATAGGACTCGATAAGTCTGCTTTACAAGCCGCTGATAGAATGTCATCCCTGCCCTTCTTCTCTTCGTGATTTTCCAAAATAGAGAAGCTACCATCCAATCAGACAAGAGAAACATATCTTGGTCTGTCTGCGAAATCAAAAATAAAAGAAACTTTTTGCAGAACCACAAATGGATTTGTAGGACTCAAGAAGCACACCATCCACAATATAAGCTCTAGAAGGCATACGAAGGAATAGACGTTCCAAACGAAAGAAAATAATCAAAGTGGGAACGACGAGTTCGCGGTTTGAGATCACAGATGGACCAGAGACAAGGCAAAGCTAATGCAGGAGAGCGGCCACTTTTTTCACTCATAGAAAGGTGCACTGATGAATTAGAATATTGACTTGCGCACAGGAGCCCTGAGTAACACAAACCAGCAACTACGAACTGAAAACTTGATATAGTGTACCATCAATAATTCTGAATGTCACAACAAATTCTTCATTGCACAGCAAAGAAGATTAGCATTGCTTTCTTGGTGACCTAACTGTAATCTGCGCGTTATCAGGATCTACTCAAGTGTCGTCCGTGCGCAGGACAATAATCCCTTCACCTAAATGTGTACTGTACACCTGCTTCTCTAAAACTATCAACATGGAAAATGAGCAGCTGAATTTTGCTCAGCAGTGGGTGGCTAAACCATATGAATATTTGGCCATCTAACCAGAATCTGACCGCAAACAAATTCTACATTCAAGAAGCAAAAGGTGAGCGGTACACATCCAAATGTACTCCTGTTAAGGGCACGAAGATATGAAATCAGAAGGTTCGCCATCCGACTGAGTAAATGAAACATATGTTCTCGGCCAAACTTTCTGAGCAGCTAAGCAGCTTCTGCTAAAAACCTTCAGCCCTTTCCATCGATCACAACAAAATCCATCTTTTTGAAGACATGACAAGATCGCTAGAAATGAGCCTTTATAAGTACTTCCTTGCGAGAGCTCGCACCCTTGTATCAAAGAAAGGTGATGTGATTCTTGATCCGGGAACGTAGAGAGGATTTAGAAGCAACTGTCATAAAAACGCAGAAAGGGTGATCAATACGCGATATTCATCTTATAACATCCACCACGGTGTTCTAACGATGTTTACCCAATACACGAGCACAAAATAGCGATGCATAAGATGCAAAGAGAACTATTGTAAATGAGAGTTTAAGTTGATATCATTCTTTGCACCTTAATGTACAGCTCGTGCACCTCCTGGAAAAAGTTTCTGATTCCATCTTCATTCCTTGAATCGTGCAGGAGCATCAGTCGGGTGTGACCGGCAGTAACATATACTGAAACAAGCAATTCGTTGTACTTGTCCACCACTTTCAAAAACCTATTATGCCGTGTATACGTGATCAGTAAACAACCAAAAAAATGCACAAAGTATGAACATACATATTTCTAGTACAAATGCACTTTCAAAATGCGTGACACGAGGCAGTATTGTAAGTAAGCAAGTTCACCACATTATAGTGCTTCACTCTGAACCTTAAAATTCCTGGCTCTAATTCTAAAAGGACAAATTTCAAAACTCAGATATACAAAAACTAGCAGCATAGAATAGCATTAACAAGAACATGGGTTTCACACTCGGGAAAAGGGGTACAGCATGAGATGAATACCATACATGCCATTGGTGGTCCAGACGACATCTTGAACAATATCCAAAGCTGCGTGAAGGATAAACTGATGCAAATGCGTTGCTTCGTCTTTCTGCGTAAAACAGTCAATCTATTACAAACACCCAAGTTTTGACAAGATGATGGTAACGAGCGTAAAGCATGCCACTCCAGAAAGCTGTGAACAAGTAACCAAAAGAACTGACAAGAATAGCTCAATACTTCAAGAAAATAGTACGGATGTCTTACAGCGTCTGGTTTACCGATAGGTGAAAGCACTCAACGAAAACATAGGAGAACAAAAATTCGAGATGTTTCGTCCGTAAGTTCTCCTCATGTTTAGAATGAACGTGAAGAGAAACAGATGGATCCCTCAGCTGTGCGCTCAAACGAAGCATTAAACGCACAGCTGAGGGTTGAGATCAATTCCATGCTTGGGTCATAGCATCTAAACAAAATTACCTTCATATTTTTCCGTTCAGAAGGATGCAATTTCCAGTATGAAATAACACATAAATGTAAATCGACGGGAACACGCCTCTAAACAAATTCGATTTCATGATAGACCCGGTTCACATTAAGTCTCGCAATGTTGGGCAAAAATGACAATACCTTTGGCGCTGTGCCGACCTCGCTTTCATATATGGGGCAATCGTTGCGTCCAACAATCACGAAGCACGCCGTGCTGGCCATCGTGCGCTTCGCTTATTCTTGGATCGATGGGTCCTCCGATCAGCAAGCAGGTCCTTCAAACTCTTGAGCCTCTCTGGCCCAGATGCAGGGGAACTTTCTGAGCGCCCCTTGCTCACTGAGTAGACCAAAACAGGCCACCGAACCGGCAGCACACAAATGTGATTTCTGCTCTAGTCACCACGGTACACATTCCGTAACTCTGTCTTACATTGATGGTAGTACATTTGGACAAATTGGTGGATTGTCTGTTTTACTCAATTATATGGCGATTTTAAATATTGTGAAATTGATGAATATGAGAACAAATTTTTCTTAACATACGTATAGATCTTGAGAGGGAGAATACCTAATCTTTCCGATTTGATTATATTCTCAATGAACTTTAGGGATTACTTCTCTTTACTTATTCATGATTTTTTTTATTTCCCTTTCTATAAGATTGCACGTAAATTTCCGTATTCAGATTTACACCATTTAGGATTTAAATATATCACCGGAATATTGCATGTTTTGTTGGTCACTGCTTTAAATCAAGAGGTTAGAGATTTACATTTCCAGTTCAAATTTCTTAAACTACAAAAATATTACATAATGGAATTCAAGAGTCTTTTTGTTTCCCTATGGCTAGTTTCGAGTTAGTGAGACTGGGGAAATTAATATTGTTGACATTGTCGGACAGGTTCGACTGTTAGATAAGACATATTTTTAATCACTCGAATGAAGATGCAGGGTGTTAGTTCGTAGAAGACCAAGATCACGTTTTCTTCATTGTTTTCCTATGATCACTTTTAAATGCTACTTTGTGCTATTTTCCACATACTTTGTACATTGGTTTGAACTATTAATAGTTGTTGGATCTAGAATGAATCTACTCTTTTGTATATGAATTTCCAACATTTATCTTTTCATTATGGATTGTAACATGGAGTATAACAAGCTTATGAATTATGTACGTGTTGCTATTACCTACCAATTTTAATACTAATCTAACAAACACAAATATTGTTAATGTTTTGTTGTCAACATATACACTAAATCTCTATTTATCAAGCATTTGAATATTTATATGGCATCTATAAATTGTCAATTATAATCCAATTCTATTTTCATCATAAATAATTTTTAATTTAGTTTTAACTAACTAAAAATTGTTACAAACCTCTACATTTTTAATTTCAACTTCTTCATTATACATTAGTTGAAAATTTTGAATTATCAAATATACATTAGCTAGAATTCTTGTTGGCTTTCAATTTGATTCAGATATTGAAGATCATTTTCACTAAATCAAATAGATTATTTTGAAATCTTTATCACCTCAAATTTGTTTCTCAAATACATTTATATAACTCAAACTTCTCATTATCATCTTTCAAGATTGGAAGATAAGATGATTTTCATTAGTGGAAGAACTAATTTGATTATAATACATAATTTTGTAACTATTACACATAAACTATCAAATGTATTTTCATAAAAGCTCCAACTTGTATACACTTCACAAATACATATTACTTCTAAAAAATATTAATGAATCTAAGATTAAACTTTGATGTTCATACGGAATGCAAATTTGTTAAAAATAATCAAAGAGTATCAACTTTTTAAGAATCAAATCTCTACCGTGAACATCTACATGTTGTTTCTGTTAATTTTGAACCAACAATTTTTCCTTGCTTTGGTATAATTCTTTGCAAACATGTTTTACACAATTGACTGTGATTGTTTTAGTTAAAAATTCTTCTTCTGAAATCCTTATCAAACTTGATAGAATTAAAAAATAAACAAAGTACATGAAATAAAATGAAAACTATGAATGTGTTCAAAATCAAATTGTTTAGCTTCAAACGTTACAAACGTTTAAAACATCTTAAATACAATATTTAAGACGTTAAGGTCATCACAGTCGCATAGAATCCTAAAACCTGGGAACATTTGACATCTAGATTTTGAGCGAATAGTGATGCGCATCAAGAAATCTTCATGAGTGTCAAGAAGATAGAGGAGTATGATTTCTTGTTCGGAAATTAGACCACGTCACCTGAATTTGGTACTACATCGTCCACGTCTCAAATGCGAGCAAATGATGCTCGTCAAGAAGTATGTGTCTAAGAGGGATCGACATGGCACAACTGAATTTGAGAGCATTGTCTTTGTCATCCACGTTTAGAATATGAGCAAATGATGATGTGCATTAACAACATTGCATGTGCGTCTCGAAGTCGGAGTTGGTTGATTTCATTCCATTTTGCTACACAATTGAATTTCGATCACATTTTTTATCTTTAAACACATACAAGCACAAAGTGTGATTGAAATTTGCGAACTACGTTGCAAGGTTGGATTGGAACGATTGCAAGTGGTTTAGCTTTGTTTGTCAAATGATAGATGGCTCAGATGAAAGCAAAAGAACTCACTCGGATCACTTCGAAGAGTTTCCGACTGATCCCAAGTTTAAGATTGCTAGGGCGAATTGCAAGCATTGCAAATCTTTCATCTTCACAACTTCGTCAAATATGAAAATTCATCTTGCCAATCGTGAACACTATGTGCGCTCTGTTGTTATTAGTCTTTGACGACTTGCTCCATTCAGTTCATTGCATATGGTAGCTACAAACACTAACAATCTTAAAGCTTCATTATTGACGGATATTCTATTTCATGAACAATCTGAGCTGGTGATTGGAAAATTGATTGCTCATAGCATGGCGCAATCGTCATTCATTACAAGGAAGAGTTCATCTATTGCTGATTGTATGAATGCAAAGATATAGCCTGAATTCAATTCAAATGAAAAGCGGATGCTCAAATCTTTGTTTGCTTCTTTGATGCATCAAGCCATTACAAACTTCCATATGTTTGATCATTTAACTTGACATGATTTTCTCAAGTAGTTTGTTCCCAAATAGATCATTTCATCATCCGATGTGCTAATCAATCAATTGCTTTAGACCCTAATTCACATAAATATATGCATATGAACAAGGAATTGCATTCCGCCACAGCAGTTATTACTAGTATGGATGGTGCTTCTACTGTGTTGTTTCAAACACGTCTATGTAACACTAGGGTTAAGAAAGAAGCTCACTCGAAGATAGAAACATAATTGTGAAGATGAGAGATACCAACAATGGTTCTCCTCTCCCTTATATAGCTTTCACCAACAAGTACAATGAGATAAGATCTTATCCCCACCATCCATCCACTATGAGTGGGATGGATGACGTGGCGGATAACCCTAACAAGCACACGGATCGCTAACGTGGCGCTCCCAACTAACACACTCAATCCTTACTTACAAGCACACGGATTGCTGACGTGACACTGTCAATTAACACATTCGCTCTGTACCTACCAAGTGCACGGATCACTAACGTGGCAGCTATAACTAGTGCACACTAAAGTATCTATATCGATATTTAGAATAACCTCTACTTTAGTTCTAACTAACTAAAGATGGTTACAAACCTCCCTCCTTTTAAGATGCAACGTCCTCGTCGCATAAACATTTAAATTCCTTAACTATCAAAGGTGTATTTGCTAAATTTTTAGCTGGTTTTCAAGTTGATTCATACGATGGATAGACTTTCCATTGAATCAAATACTCTACTTTGGGATATTTATGACCTCAAATACGTTTCTTGAGTATCTTTTCTACCTTATACTCCTCATGATCTGCTATCAAGGTTGGAAGAGGAGGTGATGCTGGTTGGTTGGTGAATTGTTTTGATCGTGATACATGTTTTTGCAATTGTGAAACATGAAATACTTGGTGTATTTTCATATGTGACGGAAGTTCCAACTTGTATGACACTTCATCAACACACTTCAAAACCAAAAATGGACCAATGAACCTAAGATTCAACTTTGGTGTTCCTACAAGAAACAAATTTGTTGTAGATAACCAAACACGATCTCCAACCTCAAAAACCACTTCTCTACGATGAGCATCAGCATGCTACTTTTGCCGATTTTGAACTATCATCAACTTCTCCTTTGCCTGATGTAGTACTCGGTGAGTATGCTCCACAAATTCGTTTACTGCTGCAAGTTTGGTCAAAAACTCTTCTCCTTTGAGAACTCTCATCAAACTTGAAGTAGTTATAGGATGAGCTCCATGCATAAGAAAAAATGGATACACTTTTGTGGATGCATTAAGAGAATTGTTATATGCAAATTCCACAAGTAGTAAAAGGTTGTATCACTCTTCTTGCTCTTCTAATGTGAATGCTCGTAGCATATCCTCTATGGTTCTATTTGCCCTCTCCATTTGTCCATCAGTTTGAAGGTGATAGGCCGTTAACATGGCTAGTTTTGTTTTGAAAAAACTAAACAAAGTTTTCCAAAATAAACTAGTGAAGTGAGTGCCTCTATCCGTGATTAACACTTTTCTTAAGCCAAGATTCACAAAAACTGCATCTAGATACAATTGAGCTAGTTGTGGAGCTGTTACTGCTTTTGTAGTTGGCCTGATGTGAATCATCTTGCTCAATTTGTTCACAAAAACCACCATCGAATCATGTTCTAACGAAGTCCTTGGTAACTCACATACAAGATCCATGATGACATGTTCCCACCGCTGTTCGGGAATAGGAAGAGGCTGTAATAAACCCGCTGATTTTTTATTACTTGACTTCTTTTGTTGACAAGGAACATAACTTCGAACATAAGACTCCACATCCTCACGTATTTTGGGCCAATAGTACACTTGTTGTATACTCTCCACGGTTAACTCCACTCCCACATGACCTGCAATGGCTCTGTGATGACTTTCTGCCAAAATCATTGTGCGCAAATCGTGATCTTGTGGAATCCATATACGCTGATTGTAAAACGCCAAACCTCAAGATTTCTCTACCTTTCCAGTTTGTAGTGCCCGAGTGATATCTTCATACTCATATGTGGCTTGTGTCATCTTGCTCCATCAATCAGCTTGAATTTTCACTTCTGCAACATGATTCAAACAAGGCATGCGTGTGAGAGCATCTGCAAGTTGCTTTTTTCCCTCCATGTACACAATCTTCATGTTGAAACGTTGGCGCCACTCTACCCATCAAATTTGTTGTTTGGACAGATCCTTATGAGTTTCCGAATAAACCAAGGGTTTATGATCAGTCTCCACCACAAACTCCTTATCATCCAAGTA